TAATAATTATTTTTCAACCTTCTTTTTATATTTATCTTACTCTAGCATTAGAGCTTCTTTACGATAAACAAATTTTCTTTTTCACATTGATGTAAAAAATGATGTTAATTGCTTATTACAATGGCTGTAATTTACAGTCTTGAAATTCATTAGATGGGTGTAAAAAATTGCATTTTTCAAATTCAATCTGAAGGGTTTGTAGAGCCTAGAAAAGCAATGTGTTTAAACTGAATAAATCCCTATATGGCTTAAAACAGGCGTCTAAGCAGTGACATGAAAAGTTTGACTCTTATATGATTAAAAATTATTTTAAAATCAACGAGTGTGATAGGTGCATATATTACAAGTCTTCTAAAAATTCACTTGTCATTGTTAGTCTCTGTGGATGATTTTTTTATATTTGTTTCAAACTTGTATGTTATAATTGAGATAAAAATCATACTTACTAACTATTTGGAAATGAAAGTTCTTGGTTAGGCTAATTTCATTTTGGGTATGAAACTCACAAAAACATGTGATGGCATTCTTCTTGATTAGTAGCATTATGTTGACCGAATGTTGAAAATTATAATTACTATGATTACAAGCATGTCGCTACTTTTGATTCTAGCGCTTATTTCTTATGAATAATGAAAATGATGTGATTAATCAAACGGATTATGCTAGAATAATTGGAAGCTTGCATTATGCAACTGATTATATTAGACCCGACATTGCATATGTAATGGGAATACTTAACAGATATATTAGTTGGCATGCCATACAGCATTTAATGAAACATATATCTAGTACCAAAACTTATGGCTCGTTTTGTAAAAAAGTATCCTACTGTACTTGAAAGATTCAATGATGCCAATTGGAATACTTTGTCAGGAGATTCTCTCTCCACCACTGGTTATATTTTTACATTGGATGGTGATGCTATATGTTGAAAATCTAAGAATCAAACCATTGCTAACTCAACCATGGAAGTTGAGCTTATAGCTTTGACATTAGCAAGTGAGGAAGCAAATTGGCCAAGGGATTTATTATGTGAAATTCCTTTGTGGAAAAAAATTAGTTTCATCTGTGTTAATTCATTGCGATACCACTGCAAACAATTGGTACAGTACATAACTGTTATTATAAATGGAAAATCTAGACCTATCAAGAAAACATACAGTACCATACAGTACCACAAGATCTTATCTAAGTAATGATATCATCAATGTTGATTATGTGAAATCTCATAATAAATTTGCAGATCCATTAGCAAAGACATTGTCAAGAGAAAGGGTCTAGAGCACATCGAGATTGATGGGATTGAAGCCTTTATAAATAAGAGCCACATATGAGGATTCCCAACCAGGAACTAGAAATCCTGAGAACTGGGTTCATTAGGAATAATGAATCCTATGGTAGTCGCAAAAAAATCTTGTAATACTTTAGATGTTGAGTTTTCTTAAGAAAACCCTTAATGAGATTTATAACTCTTATGAGTGGGGTGCAAGTATTATCGGAGCACTTTTGATAGATTTCACCTATGTGAGTGTGGAGGTGGGGCTGCTTCCTATGAGAATTAAGCTTATTTTCAAATGCGCTCATGACACTAGGATTAGCACAAGACCATAACGGCCTGACTATTAAAAGCTCATGTCTACACTTTCATTGTTATGTGTGAATAGTAATTCTTTATTTCTCTTAAGTAGTCATAGTTCAATGCTTAGCACATTATTGTTTTTGGAATAAAGGTTTCCATTTCACTAAGTGAAGGTTCAATGTAGATCACACCTTCATGATGCATAATAGTCCACTTTGACTGATAATCCTTCTGTCTGTTTTATATTATAATAAGTGGGAGAATTTTGGTGTATTTAAATATATTTAATTCATTCATTACATTTTCTTTTAAAAGGTTTGTATGTTTTGGAAGTTAAGAAAGTGAAGAGGTTGGAGGTTTAGAAAGTGAAAAGGTCAAAAGTGGGAATTGAGCATGTAATTTATGACGGCTCTTTATTTTGAATGGCCTATTTTTATCTATGAATAGGACCATTTCTTGGTCATTCTTCACCAACACAACAATCACAATTCCCTCTCATCTTCTCTTCTTACTTTCTCGCTCATTTTTTTCTGGAGAGATTCTTGATCAAATAATGGTGTTTTTTTGGTGGAGCTTTGGGGTCAACTATTTGTATAGAATTTGTTTGAATTATATGATAAACAGTCGGGCTGTTGTATCCTGAAAGGAACAAGTTATGAAGAAGTTATGCTACACTGTGTTTTGGGTTTTGCCAATTGCAGAGGGCTTGAATCTTCTTAAAGAGAGCAAGATATCTGCACCTCAATCCATCCGATTTCATTGTTTTCCTATTTATTTTGTAACTCCATTTTCTATTATTGAAATTTCACCTACATGTATAAGATAGACGATGTAAAGAAAGAGTGAACATAAATTAAATATAAAAGAAATTAATATTATTTAGCATCACTGATGTCACATTAGACTGTGCGACAATAATAAGTAACATTAAATGAGTCACATTATTTTACTTTTAATAGAGCATACTAAGTGTAATTTAAATTGATGTTTTAATTAATGGCGCTAGATAATATTATCCTGTAAAAATTAAATGAACATGTCATTCAATCAAGATAATAATAAAAAATTAAGTGGATGGTGTGCCACATTTTGAGATGATATATCATATCTTTTGATGTAATCCTCGACTCACTGAAATGTTCTAAAACCATCGACTCTTCAACCTGGCGCGTTGCCCCAATCAGTTCGCGCCACACTGAAGATGCTATAAACCCATTGGCTATTTGTTCAACCTGGCACACTATCCCAATCAGTCCATGCCACACGCACTAAATCAGGAGCCACTACTCTCCAGTTCTTTCTATCCAATTATTAGCAGTGTGAATTTTATAACTGGAAATAGGACACATCTGGTCTTCAAAGTGGAAAATCGCTTGCTCACTTCGTTTAATAACTATTAAATAAAGCTCCAATTTGATTTTTTAGTTTAGACCAATTTCATATAAATTTTAAGCAACCAATTCAAAAAGTTTATTACAGGCCTGTTTGATAGGGATTTTGAAAATTAATTTTTTGATCGTTAGAAGAAAAGTGAGGTCCACATGTGAGAGAAAAAACCAAAAATTACGACTTGAATAGTAAAAAACGGTCAAAAAATCAATTTTTTTGGGCAAAAAATCCCTACCAAACGAGGCCTACATGTTTCTTAAGGTAAAAATCTTTGTTTTAAATGATTTTACTTATAAATTAAAATGTAACTTTTAATTTAAATGAAAGTTAGAAATTAAAATAGTATTTCTTCCTCAAATAAATGTTCGTTAAATAGTAATAAGAAACATTGTTATATTAACATTTTTTAAGTTAAAAAGTCACATAAAAGTAATTCAATGGTATTAGGAGTACATCACCATGTACCTAAGGATGTTCATTATGGACATCCAGCGTCTCGTCATTGGCGAGGTGCCTGCCACACGCAGGCCCACAGGCGTCTCGCCAATGACGAGGCGTTGGACATCCTTCGGTACATGGTGATGTACCTTTAGCATTATCCAAGGTAATTATTCTTTCAATTATGTTTCCTTGATAGAATTATTGGTCCACGCCCTTGATAGTATTATTGAATTATTTAAAAAATTGTTAATTTTTGCACTCAATCATCTGCTGTGACACTGCATCTATCAAGTAGATGAGGAAAATATTATGTACAAATGGCTAAATCCTTATCCTTTTTAGGCTTTGCCCCTCGAGTGCAAAGGTAGAAAGGAACTTGACTGCAAGACCCACCCGTCGAGCAGATCAGCCTGTTATCCCTAGAGTAACTTTTATCCGTTGAGCGACGACCCTTCCACTTCAAACTTGCTCCCATTTCGAGTCAAGGCCTCTTCATTTAACAATAATTAAACTGAACTTATGTTGTGACAATTTAGTAAAGATGTAATGAAATAAAATTAATTTAACGTGAGATGAGTTTGAGTAAACAACGGTAGATTTGAATCAATTTCCTACACGTTCAACTATAGCAATTATCAGTTAATATTGTCAAATAGATGAATATTTGAATAAGCATTCTCGTACCACTTCGAGCGTGCCTTAGAAGACAATTTTTGTTTTATTGTTCTAAATTAAATGTGACCATGAAATTCCATATTCTCATAATAATCTAAAACGGATCTAATCCAATATGAAATTCCGAACTCGAAAAGGAACCCTATTAAGCCCTTGCTTGCTGTAGATTTTAATAAAAATTGATGAGATATATAATTGAAAATTTGTAAATCTCCGAGACTTAAATTATTCATTTTTCTTGAACAATTTTATTTCGTGGAGCTATAATTTTATTTTTATTTTTTAACTAGCCTTAAATTGAACTAGTGTTGAAAATGTGCATCTAGTTGACATTGACTGCATTTTGTATACTAAGTCCTTGTTTGAGCCCTATATTTTCAAAAATTCAAATTTTAAAATTCATTTTTAATTAAATATTTTTGAATAAAATAATTTTACATGTAAATAAAAAATTATTTATTTATTTTTTACAGTACATTCTTTTAAAAATCAATTTTCAAAACGAATAATACTATTTATCATCATAATGATAAATCATTGATGATGTGGCAACTCATTATGCCTTACATTTTTCTTGAGAACATGTTTTCTTTCTCTATCTCATAAAAATTGAACTGTTAAATCTCGTTATTTCACATAGATTATCACATTATCGATGATTTATCATTGTAATAATAAAATAACATTAATCTTTAAAAATATATTTTCCTTTAAAATGGGGCTCAAACAAGGGTTAAAGTCGTTATTACGTAGCAATTTTAGGGTTTGTTCCATAGTAATTATAAGAATTGATTTTTTTATAGTTGGAGAGAAAAATAGATTCTAAGGGAAGAATTAAAAAATGAACACTGTAAAAGTAAGATAAAGAGCAAAAAATAAATTTTTTGGGTGAAAATTTACTTTAAAAAAAGCCGGTTGCTCCATGAATACAGCCTACAAGGAGACTAGCCAATAAATCATCGTCTGACACTCGTATCAAAAGCAATGGCTTCTTTCTACGCCGCCTCCGCCGCCGCCGCAGCCACCAGCACCGCCACCACTCGCCTTCTCCCTTCTGCCGCCAATAGACTGACCCTCTCTTCCTCCATCTCCCTCAAGTCCCTCCGATTCTCCCCTGTCATCTCCCACCTCTACGTCCGCAAGGTCCGTATATGCATACACTCGTGTATAAAATCATATTTATCGTATGTATATGTATATGCGATTAATTGATGTTCTTATTTATTTTGTCTTTTTTTTTTCTCTTTTTTTTTTTCTTAAATATTAGAAGACAACCCTGGGGCGAATCTCGAGCGAGAGATTAAGTTACGCGACTGTGACGTCACCAATATCAGCTGCTTCGATCCCTGAACAGCTTAAAAGTGCAAGAGAGAACATCAAAGAGCTACTCAAGACTACATATTGCCATCCCATTTTGGTAATTTCATTTTGCTTGTTTTTCAATTAGTAGAGGGCCGATCTTATAGAATTTAGGTTAAGGACCTTAAGGTTGAATTTTTCTTCTTAACTGTATACTTATTCATATGATGTGCATTTTTATTGTAGAAACTATAATGTATAAAGTGTGAATAGGAACTCAGACGATTGAATTTCATATTCATGTAAAATGTCTTCCACTATTGCTGGATGGTGGTTGATTGCACACGCTGCACGGTAAGATTATGTTGTGAATTTTGAACACGTGGTGGAGGACTGCACGAATGAAAGAAAATTAGGAAGGATGATCATGAAAAACACTGAAGGGTAAGCTAACCACCAGGGTCATGTCTTACCGCTCTGGTTGTAATCAATGGTCGAAGTATTTTACTAAGGAAGGATATATGCCTTGGCGAAATTTGATACTAAGAAATGGTGTAGGGCATAGCCCATATGAATGACAATATTTTTACTTTGGGGGAAGAAACAAGAGTAGCTAAAGTAAATTTTGCTTTGATTTGAAATTTTTTATATATCAATCCCTAGCAAGTTTCTTTGATTTGGAAGGGACTGAGACAAGGTGATGATCTCATTCCCTTTCTTCTCTTCCTTCATCCCTTGCCATGAAAAGTATTTAGTATGCTGAAGAAACAGAAAATATAGTGGGTGGAAAAGGATTTGAAAGACTGCTAGATAAGGCAAGAAGCATCACAATCATGCATATGTCAAAATTTACTTTCAGAAGGTAATATCCTGTTTTTATACAAGGAGACAGGATGGCATTGGAATTGAGAAGTTTGAAGAGATGAATTTTTACATTTTATCCAGTTTTGTATATGCAGCATTTGCTCAGAATTTTCATTATGCCTCAAATAAATACAGTCAATGTATTATGCCTGACTTTTGGAGTTAGCTTCATACGTCTATGTAAATTAGCTTTTGAGGAAAATATGTCTGGTGTATGGGGTGAATGCTTCTTCAATATACTAGTACTTTGTGTATATGAATGCTATAATAGTGTTTTTGCTTCTTTCTTAATATTTGGAGAAAACAGTAAAGAAGAAAAAGAACTTGCCTTAAACACCTATTTCCTCACTGAAGTCTGAACCGCATTTTTCTTTGGAGATCGCCAACCCCAATCGTGCATGCTTGAAAAGGATAGCTTTCCCCAAAGTCGCTAACTTGGGAATTGGGATAAAATGTCTAGGATGTATAAAGAAAGACTTAAAATACACAAATCTAGACTCTTCAACATTGGACATTTGTGAGTGTCAAGTCACCTATCAAAAAAAAAAAAAAATGGTTTCACCACATGGATCCTGGCATTTTGAAACTAATGCCTTTACAGAATTGTGGATGATACTGAAACATATAATAGTGGAGAAAATAGTTATAAAGTTTTCATATGAAACAGGTCCGATTGGGCTGGCATGATGCCGGTACTTATAACAAGAATATTGAAGAATGGCCAAAAAGAGGTGGTGCTAATGGAAGTTTAAGATTTGAGATTGAATTGAAACATGCAGCCAATGCTGGTGAGTTCCATATCAATATTGATTATTTGCTTGGATGACGTGTAAGTTGCCTTACATGCTTAAGTACAGGGCTGGTTAATGCACTTAAACTTCTTCAGCCTATCAAAGAAAAGTATTCTGGTGTGACTTATGCTGATTTATTCCAGTTGGCCAGTGCTACTGCCGTGGAGGTGATTCTTTTGGTTTATATTTGGCATATATATACATGGAAGAATGGAAGAGTTGATGTTACTGATACTCTTCTTTGGAATTACAGGAGGCTGGGGGTCCCAAAATTCCAATGAAGTATGGAAGAGTTGATGTCTCTGAACCTGAGCAATGTCCTGAAGAGGGGAGGCTCCCCGGTAAATAACTGCAACTTTTGCAAATACATTCTGTTCATTTGCATGTATTTTCTAAAGCACAAGAGTTTCTGAGACCGATTATTAGCAAATAAGGATGCCACACAACCATTTGGAAAAATAGTAAACTCTAATCCCTCCAAATCAGGTTTCAGTGATTGCATAGTTGATTGGCTAGGGGCTGCACTGTGACATGTTCTGTGGGTTTGATAGATGTCCCAGGGTCTTGTGGTGTTATATCTAAGAAAAAGCTTGAGACACTAGTGGACAGAGAAGGAGCAAGAGGATTCTGCTTAATTTTTAAATCATGGTTGATTTGTGTCAAATTTTTTTTCTTTTGTTTTTTTGGACTCTGATTTGAATAGTTGCAGTAGTCATGTTGGTAAAAGGTTTATCTATTGATGGTTCCTTCTATATTTTCTGGCTGGTTGCATTGGAAGGGGGCTCAACTCGAAGTTAAAAGTTGGTGGGAAATCATTGAAGTTACCTTACTAAAAGATTGTGCCAAGTCTACCCCGACATTTTCATTACAAAAATGACGGGTTTGCATGATATGGCACTAATAATTTTTAAATGGTTTCTCTGGGTCTCATGGTGTTCTATGAGCAGTCTTTGGGCAACTTTTACAAGAATAGTTTTGTACTGTATTGTATTTTTATTATGTGATAAACGAGCATCCTTGGAGGATTAGCTTGACATGAGCATTATGTTTAAAGTCTGAGCATTTGAAATTTCCACTAGTTACTGACCCTTTCTCTTTTTGATTTTTCTTTATCATTCATGAAAATCCTGTATTATATTGCATAGCATATTTTTCAAATGCCTCTAGAACTTCTCAGGTCTTATAGAGCCTGATGTTTTAGTTTTTACTTAATCCAACCAGATTGCAATTCTCATTTTGCCCTTAACACTCACAACTAACTTAATTTGATTGATCAGATGCTGGTCCCCCTTCACCAGCTACCCATTTACGTGAGGTCTTCTACAGGATGGGATTGAATGATAAGGTAAGTTGTCATCCTGTTGCTAATCTGATATTCAATGTCAAGATAACAATACAGCATTTTTTTTATAGGAAATAGTTGTTCTATCCGGTGCACATACTTTGGGAAGATCAAGGCCTGAGCGTAGTGGATGGGGCAAGCCAGAAACAAAATATACGGTATTGAGATAGAACCATTAATTTATAGATTATTTGTGAATATTATGCAATTCCATTGCATTTGGGTGGAACAGAGGAGGGTTTCTTCAAACCTATTTGCAGCAGTGAAGGTATACCTATATAGCATCAAAAGCTGCAGGAAAATAGTGCGCTGGTTCCATGAATGGGAATGTTCTGAACTTATAGGATATTAGGCTTACACGCTGTCTATGATTATACTGAATGTGCTTTTACTTTTAAATTATCTAGCCTGTTGGTATTTTTGCTCTACTGCCTTTCTAATCTCAGTTCAGGCAGTTATTTTATTTTTAACTGGGTACATAAAATTTGAACGTTGTTTAAATCAATATTTTAGGTTGAAAGATGAAATACTTAAGTGAATTAGAGAGAAAAATTTCATCATTTGTCATATGAAGATTTTGAATACAGGAGCCTATTTATAAGCTAAAGTTACAGGCTGCTAAAGTCACTAAAAAAAGGAAAAAGATATTTTGTCTATAATCAGAAGATATTATCCGTATAATCAAATCCTAATCGAACCTATCCTAATCTCCATGAGTTAACTGCATACAATCAGGAAATCAAGGCCAAAATAAGGAATAATCCCATGAAAAACTCTCGGGATTTTCCATATAGGTAAAACTAAAGAGGATTCATAGAACGCTCTTTCAGTGATCATAATATTAAGGACAACAATGGAATCACAATGAAGAACTGCATTGTCCCAAAAGTGACACTTCAGGTGTTTATGTACGATTATAGATAACAAAGATTTGAAGAGGATGCAATGCATAGAATCAGAGTGGATGGGACAAATAAAGAAAGGCTACAGATTTCATGCAATCCTAAGATAGCTGTGATGTTAAAATACAAGTTGTACAGAGCAGTCATTAGATCAACTGCGTTTTACGGTAGTCTATACATTTAGATTTTTCATTCTTATAAATTCACGTGCACTGAAATATAGAAAGCCATATTCTATTCATGCAGTAAAAATTTTAAATAATTTAAATACAACGATGATCATTTGAAAGTTATTCTTCGATTTCTGCAGTTTGTGCTCATTTTAGATGTAGTTTGAACTTTTCTTACACTAAGTTAAGCCTTAATTCCAGTAAACTGGGGATCAACAACAGAGGTCCACTATTTCCAATGTGTCCAGTGCCTACATATATCAAATCTTTTTTCTGCCAGCCAAATATGCTATCCATTTCAATCGATACCACTTTCACGTTTTTGTGTATCCTAATTTCTTATTTTGTCTATTCTAGCATGGCTACTCATCCATCTTATCATCCTCATTTGTAACTACACCCATCTTATATTTCCTTTAACAACCTAACATTGGTATCTTGCTGATCACGACTGCTGTTTTCTCAATCATACTTGTGCCTTTTTTAATCTGGTTTTGTAACTTACTCTGTTAAAGTAAATGATGAAACAGATGGCGAGTCTTTGTGGAAACTTCTATAAATGCCAACTTCATTAATCAAAGTTATAATATTATCAATTGTTTTGTCCTTTAGATTAGCATCAGTTAGTGAGCCTTCACACATAAAACCTCTTTATGTGTTTTATACAATTTATTTTCCTGTGCTACGCAGAAAATATTTCGTTTCAGCTTTCGTGTTAGATACATATCCATAAATGAAATTAAGCCTCTACTTGGTTTGGATAAAAATTAGATTTTAGTAGATTTTGATAGTAGTTGGTGACTTGTGGTTGAAAAGTTTTGGGTCCAATGAAATTTGTAGCTGAAAATGAGTTTGAAAAAAATAAAAAATAAAACCAGTTTTAAGAAATGGGGCCCAAACAAGGGCTAAGTATTCTAGGATTGTGGTATTATAGTTTAGGAAGTATGTCAAGATGGGTGCTTAAAATTTTTTATCCAGGCTAAGATTTGATGCACTTCTCAAGTGTGGACTTGATTGATTTTGGCAGTTGAAAACCATAAAGAAATGTGTTTTCATATCTAATCGGTTTAGCGAAATATTAGTAAAATAATATTTGAGCTAAAAATTGTAGCAAGAGGCTTGCAGATGTGCAGGAAATAAGATGTGTGCATATGGGCAAACATAAGTATTCAAAAACTCAAAATTTAAATAAAATGGTGCTTTGCGAGATATTTGGGGAATTTTAGTATAGTTTGAGCACCTCTAGTTTATATCATAATGGAGATGACAATAGGAAAAAGCCTAGAAAAACTTTCATATATCTGGACCTTTTACCATCTAGTTTTTCAGTCCTCTCAACTTTTCTATCATGATATTATAGTTTATTCATTCCCCATATCATCCGATCCTCTGAGTTCATTTTCACTTGCTATAGTTGGTTCTTCAATTAGCACTGAATTATATTTTTGCCATTAGCATTCCCTGCGTGACTTGCCAAGAATATAAATAATAACTAATTTCTATAACATGTAATCATTTAAAAAGTAAACTTATCATTCTGTCATCTGGCAGAAAGAAGGACCTGGAGCCCCTGGAGGTCAGTCATGGACAGTGCAGTGGCTTAAGTTTGATAACTCCTACTTTAAGGTGCTGTTTGGTGATGTCGGTTTTTTTAAGAATCAGGATTACGCTCAAGCTCCATTATGACATGAAATTTATTTGTAGGATATTAAAGAAAGAAGGGATGCAGATCTGTTAGTTTTACCTACAGATGCTGTTCTTTTTGAAGATCCTTCATTCAAGGTAGAGTAATGGGTAGTTTCACTGCAAGAGACATGTTCTAAAATCTCCTTTTTATATTTACATTTGACTTTATGCATCTGCAGGAATATGCCGAGAAATATGCTGCAGATCAAGATGCATTTTTTAAAGATTATGCTGAAGCTCATGCTAAACTTAGCAATCTTGGAGCCAAATTTGAGCCTCCCGAGGTTTTCTTTCATTACCTAACTTATAATGGGCTCATTTGCTGTTCTGTTTTGAGTGTAATTTTATGTTGCATGCTTTATCAAATTATGATAAATCAATTCATGAAGCTGATAATAACACTTTTCTGGCGCTTACATGTTAACTTTCTTTTAAAATGATTCTCATGCGATGCCATTGTTATACCACACAAAATAGATCACACCATAAAAATGCTATTGCGCGTCACACTTTAAGTGGAACTCTTTTGATTCCTCAAAAATACCTTTTATCAGATATTGAAAAAATTATTTCTATATTTGCTTGGACATTAATGCATCTCTCTCTGTTTTCTTCCCCTTCAACTTTTAAATCTAACTATTTTATTTTAATTCCCGCTTAAAAGTTTCTTTTCAATTTGTTAAACCAAATTGAAAATCTTTTTCTTGGATCCATACTAACCCACCCCGAGTGATTTTGGTCACCTTGCTTAGGCATATGGCTGTAGAGAATGTGAAGGTTTCTCAATGTCTATGCTGTGTTTTACCAATTATATGAACAATTGACATCAATGATCAAACTAACGCCTAAAACATTTTCTGGACAGGGTTTTTCGTTAGATGACAGCTCCCCATAAGCTCAACCAGAAAAGTTCGTGGCAGCCAAATAGTCAACGGGAAAGGTTATCTTACTGTGCACTTTTTTTAATGGATTATTTTTTCCCCATGTCATGCATAAAGAACTTCAAGGCAAGAACACATGCAAGTGGTTAAATCTTTTGCCTTTTGTGGTTGCTGCAGGATTAAATTTCAATAGGAGTAACTTCTTTTCATGTACTACTGTTATTTTAATAACACAAGATGGCGCTATTACCAAATCGTGTGAACTTCATACCTAAAACTTTGTAGTCTTAATGGAGGCAAAGAATAAATTTAATGAGAGTTACCTATTTGAATTGTGGCGAGAGCTCTTGGACTCTGAAACAAAAGATTCGAGCAGAGTATGGAGGATTTGGAGGAAGCCCGGATAAGCTTCTCCAATCGAACTATTTTCCTAAATAATATGATTGTGATTGCTGTTTTGGCATACTTGACATCCTTGGTTACGAACTAAGATGTTTCTTGGCGTGATAATATAGTACGGAATTTACTTTTGCTTTCTTTTAAATGTGTTGGGAGTGGAAGTTTGGTATCTGAAACTATGATGTTGAGTGCATTATTACGCATCTCAAACAAGAATATAAAATGTGGTGTTGCTATCTTTTAAAATGCATTCAAATTTTATAGATATGTATAATATAAATACATATTTGTGAATTCCTTCGGCCTCCTATCATGCTATAAGTATTGAAAATTTTGACAGACAATACATGGTGTGAAATCATTGGAAGATAGAAAGAAACACAAAAATACAGGTTAATAAGGTTTCACCACATCAGCATCTATATGAATTCGGTAAAGAATTTCCTGTACTTGAGGCTTTTTCCTTTGGTCCCAAGAGGTATATATATACACACATATACTCTGCATACTTAACGTGACTATATCAATCAAGCAAAGTGTGAAGCTATCGTAGAAAATCGAGATGAACCCCTTCAATCAAACTGTTTTCTTAATATTGTGATTATATTTATTGCTGTTTTGACATATTTGACATCTTTAAATTGTGCTATTGTGGAAGTTTAGGTTCTCACAAACTATGATGTTGATTGCACAATTATTTATTTGATATTTCTACTTCATATTGGACATATTTCTTACAAACTTAAGTTTACACCGAGCTTGCTTGCTCTTCTCAAATATCGGGTAAACGTTTGCTTTCATGCTATGTTGTAGCAAATACAAATCATATTCTCAATAATTTTAAGTCTGACTACTTAATTTTATTATTATTTTTTTTTTTTTTGTGTCATCGCCCTGTTCATTTCATTGCGTCATATTGGACATATTTCTTACAAACTTAAGTTTACACCGAGCTTGCTTGCTCTTCTCAAATATCGGGTAAACGTTTGCTTTCATGCTATGTTGTAGCAAATACAAATCATATTCTCAATAATTTTAAGTCTGACTACTTAATTTTATTATTATTTTTTTTTTTTTTGTGTCATCGCCCTGTTCATTTCATTGCGATATTTTGGAAGATCCAATGCAACTAGGTCTTTAGGAACAACGTCACATTGATTTGTGTAGCCTTTGCTCCTCTAACATGGTAGTTTTGATTACTTATTCGTCACTACATCGGTTTTACATTTTTTTGGCAATCTTTTGATCAAAGACTTTATGCTTTCACTTTTTAACTTCTTATACTTGTTATTTGCGATTTAATAATCTTTAAATGTGATTTCTTGCTTATTTAGGTGTGTACTTTTTGCGTTCTTTTAGTTTTTGCAGGGCCGGTCTTGTGATCTTGGGGGCTCGAGGCGAACTCCATAAATTGGGCCCCCAAAATCAATGTAAATCAAAATCCAACGGTGTACTATACAATCAATTGCTAACTTGAAACTTAACGTAAAAGACATTTACAAAACATCTCAATTATGGAAGGATTTTTTCTGTTAATTAGTGGGTTTTACCAAAAAAAAAAAAAAAAAGGAAAAAAAATTTTGGGCCTCCTTGAAGAGCTGGGCCTGAGGCAGCGGCCTATTGAGCTTATGCTCAGGTTCGGCTCTTAGTTTTTGTATTTTATTTTTATTTTTCCTCCTAGAATCAATCCTCTTAAAGAACTTCAATGCATTTGTATGTGTTGTTAATAATTGTTTGCATTTCCTCGTAGATCTCAGTTGTGAAAGAAAAGACTGCTCGCATTATTCTCGAATATTAGTTTAACACATTTCTAGATTTACCAAAAATTTTAAACCACCAGTTCATTAGTAGTTACCACATGGTATTTATTTTGATGTACCCTTCATTTTCAACCTATTTGTGTGTGTATAATTTTCAGAGAATGAACTACAAATTATTAGGAGGTTAAAGTGTTTTTTTTTTTTTTTAATTAAATGAAGGAGTGTCTCTGATTATCACAACCCAATTTTCGTGATTATTTTCCTTATTTATAAAGACGTAAAAAATAATTTTAATCTTTAAAGATGTCTTGGCATAAAAAATACTTAAATTTCAAGTATATGATACAATTAATTGGGTATTATATCATAAATAAAACGTTGAATTGAATGAGTAATGTTATTTAATACCCTTGGTGTTTAACGTTAGCCTACATGGCAACGTTTGTGGTATTAAATTATAGGTTCAATTAGATACAATAATATGGCCTACTTAATAGAATTTATCATATGCAGACGTTTAGATTGATGCTCTATCACCATAACTTAGGTGTGTTTTAACACAAAGAAAAAAATTATAAAGGTTGATTCTGTTGAAGGTAACGTCAGATATTATTGAGATATTGAAAACAATAGAAACGAATATATGCTTTAGCTACTATGTATATTTACCATAATTTGTTCTTTTAAGATGAAATTTAAAAGTACTAAATATCATATCATGGTTCGAGAAATTCAAATTATCAATTATAGTATCTATTAAGAAAATATCATTGTGATATAATGTTATTGAACAAAACCATGGATGTTGAATCAAAATCCATTAAAGAATAGAGATTAGAAATGATTGCCCAAATTAAAATGACCCTTGCTACAAAAACTTGAAATTTTTGGCTTTGCAAAATGGAAATGAAAAATGTAGTTATTACTTATTAGATATAATGCAAGACTCTTGACATAATGATTTTCACATAAGGTTTATATAAATAGATAAGTTCTTCTTGTAGTGGATGCAATCAAAAGTCGACAACTTATATGGTATTAAATGAATGTGGTTGAAATCAAATAATTTTGCTCGACTAATAATACTACGTAGATATTTAATATACCTGAAAATCGAACACTTGCATATTTTGTACACGAATTAGCTCAACATTAGAGCCCGTAACTTTACTCATGATTGGGGCAGTTGAAGCCCAATCAGAATTGGAAATGGGTCTAGCTGTTAGTCTATGCTTAATAATAGCTTAAAATGTGATTTGAGGTCACTTTAAAAGGGGGAAAAAATTAAAAAATATTTTTTATGCATAGCTAAGTATATCATTGGGATTAGGTCATACTTTTGAAGAGACTCAAGTTAATACTTAAATTCTTGAGCTATTACAAGTGGCCAACGTGTAATCACTTCGATTCAACAGTTGAATTTAGGTTTTTATTGGTCTCCACCTGTGTACTTTGACTTCGTGATCTCTAATAGAAAATAAATTAGCTGCACCAAAAGATGCTATCACATCAAGTAGTAACGAAATATTCTTCGATCCAAGCAATTCATGCAACCGAATAACTAACAATGTACAAATTGTAATACTATAACTTGTTTCTGTTAAGATTAGGTTAACCGAATTTTTTTTTTGTATATTCTTAATTTGGATCTAGAACAAGTTACATGTTTGCTTGACAAAGACAAAGATAGTGTGGAAGTTCTCAACCACTACATTACATCTCAGTTTTTTAAGGTTTATTTCACGTGGTATGTACATGTGATTATGTTTTCAAAAAATATATATATATATATAATAATAATAATAATAATAATAATAATAATAATAATAATAATAATAATAATAATAATGCAATTTTCTTATCCATGATAGCAGAAATCTTTAAGAAAATAAGGGAGAAAAAGAAAAGAAAAATAAATTCAATATCATTTAATAATAATTTCAAATCCAGGACACAAATGAGAAGGTAAAGAAAATAACATTTTTTATCATATGAGAACGAAGGTTCTAAATTTTTCAAAAAAGTAAGTTCTAAAGTACTTAAATATGTCAAAACGTGTTAGTAAATTCCGTTTTTTAGGTAAGCACAAAGAAAAGTTAGCTGAAAAACATCACTAAGAACAAATAAAAAAGCCAAAAAAAGTTAGAATTTGGATGAAATGGACTTCGCCTACCTCAACTACCTTTTAAGATTGATGGAAATAAATGGAAATGGGGCCTTACATAACGAATTTTATTTTATTTTATTTTTTCAGTTTTTTGACTTTAGAACTTTTTTTTACATCATGATCATGTAAGAAAAGGAATATCGAATCAATTAATTTGATTTTTTTTTTATCTCCAATGCAATGCAGTCTACATGACTGTCAAATAGACACTCTCAGCCTATGTTGCATTAATGTTTAAGAAATAGATGATGAAGTTCAAAATGATTCTTTATATTGTCCAATTATCTTGTCTAGATGGATATAAATAATATTTTCTAATGTCTTGTAAAAGATAAGTTTATTAAGATTCAAAACTGAATGACAATTGTACCCCTACAACCCTAAAAATTATTACTGTTGTATCCTTAATTCTGCCTTATAAATACAGGACTTTGATTCTTAATAAAACACACATAAGTCTATTAATTTCTCTCTATTCTATTCTCTTTTCTTCACTTTTATAACACATTATCGCCATGATAACTTAATTTTTCAAAATTTAGTGAAGGTAATAATTTTTATAGTCATGAATATTTATCACGTGTACCAAAATTAATTTGGTAGCATGTGAAACATTTCAATATATATATGCATCATAACGAGGTTGCTTCTTCTTCTCTACTTTTTATCAACATACATATTAACTCTAATTCATGTTTGTATGTGTAATATGAACACATATTAATTGACCTTTTTTTTAATTCAAACACGATCATTTTTTTCTATGTATGATTCAGTATTAATTCTATCTTTTGAATCTATTACATATTAGTTCTATCTTTAATTTCTATATATGTGAAATTCACATGTATACTTAGTATCTTTTGCATGTTGGTAAAAGATTTAGTCAACAAATAATTTAGCCAATTTTTTTAACTTCTATGTATGGATATTCTTTTTCTTAATGCATTTTTATTAATTAATTTTCTATATAAATTCATATCATGTCTATATGTTAATTAAATATTTTTAGATATTATTTTATGAACTTTAAATTAAGAATTTATTATCTTGTTGTTTCGAAAGTAGCACACCATTATTAATATTCTAGAAGAATATTATTTGCTTATAAAGAGCATGATATTACAAGTTCATATTCCAAAAAAAATATTAACTCAATGCTCCTGAAGAAGCATAATTTAAATTATAGTTATTTTAAATGAATATAATGTTGGTGTTCTCGAAAAAATGCAACACACGTTATATAAATATTTAAGAAGAATATAAATATATATAAAATAATATTAAAAAAAGTTGTGTTGGTGTTCCTGAAGAA